GTTTGTGAATATTCAAAATCCTATTACTAATGTGCTGTGAGTGTCATTCTGAGCACTTTTTCTTGTACTTTATTCTCAGGGAACTGTGTCATTTTCTTGTTCACAACCACAATCAGTGCCTGTGACTTTTCTGAGCTCCAGGAGTTACTTAGCACTGCCAGGCACTTCTGGAGCGGGTGAGGTTTCTGCCACTTTTCAATTTCGAACTTGGAATAAGGCAGGACTTTTGCTATTCACTGAACTTCAGCTTGTCGCAGGAGGCCTCCTCCTCTTTCTTCATGATGGAAAACTTAGACTGAACCTCTTCCAGCCAGGAAGATTACCCACTGACATCACAGCAGGTAATAAATGTATTCCCACAGACAAAGCATATGGATTTGTAAGATTTCATTATCTCTCTGTCCCCTCTCCACAAAATTTTATACTGAACCAAAAATTAATATTTGTTTAATAAATGAATACTTGAGTTAATAAGATTATCAGCATCCTTCCTTAGAGGAACTTGGTTCTTACTTCCTCTTCAGTATGGCTCCAACACTCGCAGTTCTTATTAACCAAAATGATGGTTATGGAATCTAAAAACAGTTCTGACACCAACTGCAACACAGTTCTTCTTACCTAACTACCCAGAGTCAGGTCAGATTTCACAGATTAAGGGCACAGTACTCCAGACTGCTAAGTCTGCCCAAGACCCCAGACACCCACTGCAAGTTCAGGGATCTCCAGGCTACCTGTTCATCTGACCAGTTATCTACAAATTCGGGGGTTGCCGCTAACCCCTGTTACAAATAAAATTTCTGCAAGATTAAATTTGTATATGAACTAATAAGTTTTATGTGCAGTTCATGAATTGGCAAGTATCTGAATGTCAGACAAGAGCTTCGAAGAGCCGTACAAAGCAGCAGGATTGTATAGGCACAGACACACTGGAACAAGTAAGCTATAATGGGTAACTTCAGATTCACTGGTGGGCGTTTTCTTACCTTATTTGGGATTAAGGGTAGAT